GGCTACAGTGTCAGAATGTAGAGCAAAAAGCAACCGGCTTGTGTTTTACGTATTTGAACGTACTGCAGAGATGAGACTCGTCAATCTCCTGTAAGAAAACAATGAAGGCTACAGTGTCAGAATGTAGAGCAAAAAGTAACCGGTGTAGTACTATAGTAGTACATGTAGTTAAGGATAGCACTCTGGCTCCTAACCAACCACAGAGCGTTCTTTAAATTTGTAACACATAACGGACGAGTACCAATCATATTTTCAAATAACGTAGCAAAATACTCTTTGACAAATAGAATTACATGTAGACCTTTCTCCAGTATGAAATTTAAGATAAATAGCCTCTAAATTGCGCAGAAAATTAATACCAACACCTTTAACAATTATTAACAAAAAGGAATATTAAAATTCTATCCAAATTCTGTAAAGGGCCTTTTATAAAAACTATCAAAATATGAAAGGATTCCTCTACCTTCTTTCCTTTCTTAGTAGGCTTGATCTTGAGTTTGGCTCTTTCATAAAATGTCTGCCTCACACATTGCCTAACAAGAGGATCCCGTGCAATCTGCATGGCCACCATATGCTGAGCAGCCTCTAAGACTTGATCAACAGTTGAAAATGTACTGAAAAGAAAAAACACACACACATACAAAAAGCTCACTTCATACCAACTTAGGCAAACCAAAACATGTATCATTTACTTAATGACCACAGGCTGCGATAATTAAAGTTTCAATTTATCATAAAAGCAATACTGACATCACTAACTTTGCTCCATTTCAATCACCCCTATTGGCCTAGAAAACTTAAAGACAGTGTATCCACTCAGCCAATGACATGCAAAACATAAAACAATCACTCATCTACTAAGATGCAAGACTGAAACTAATCATGCGTTTGACAGATGTATTTTTTGCATTTCAGGACATTTTGTTTGACTGTATTTTTCTTTGAATTTTAATTAAGTTAGTTAAATCATCCTTTATGATTGGTCAAATTTAACAACTTTCATTGGTGTGGAGTTTACTTGATACTTGATGGTAACATTTACTTGAACAGCAGATAAAAATAACCTGTTACTGCTCTTAACGAGAACCCTGCCTTTATAAAATACAATACTCTACATACCTACTCAGATAATTTTCAGCTGCATCATCTGGCTCAACAGGATGTTGCTCTGTCTCATGACGCTGGTAGTTGTCGCGTAAGTTCTCTCCCAGCTGGTCAGGTGTCAAACCAAATTTCCTTGCCACGCCACTAACCCCTTCAAAAATAAAAGTGCAACAGTGAGGAGGTATCTATATTATGACAGTATCAAATGTTAAGGTTCCTTGCTCAAAATAAACAAAACATGAGGCTTATCATTGATGAAGTACAATCAACATATGAAGGGAAAATAATATTATATTGTCTCCACTGACAAACAGCAACCATTTCAGTTGCCATGGCCAGTATTAAAACTCTAAGAGGCTAAATCAGAGGTAAAAGTTGCCACTTTGGTGACCAGGTGTCAGGTAGAAAGTAATTACAAGTATTTACAAGGTATCAAATTAAGATGAGATGAATATTTTCTATTCTATTTTCTATTACACTAAAAATTGTTTCATCTTTAGATTAATATTTGCATTTATTATTTGTTACATTGCAAGGGTTCAAAAATATGCTGAGTTCAGCTCTGACCAAAATTGTATTTTACAACTTCAAAGCTTGCAGATTTTAAGATATTACTATAACTACTTAAACTAATTAAAGATATCACTATAATTTAATCAAAACCAACTGCATATTATTCAAATCAAATAGCTGGATTGGTTTATTGACAGCTAGAGTGAAAAAGAATTGCTTCAACCATATGTAGTGTGAAATACACATAACATGGCATCCGAAGACAGCTTTCTGTTCTTGAAATAAAATGGGACGTTGCATGAATATTCTCTCCTATACTTTAGATCTATCATTCCAAAGGGCACTTAATTTCTACATCATTTCATGATTTTCAAAATCATTTTTTTCTAACAAAACTAATTAATTTTGCAATTATTGTCAAAAGTGTTGCAAAATCATGGGAATTAATTGCAAGTTCTAGATTATCTTATTAAATCTCTTCGCTAGTGGCCTTGTTTTCCTAGGCCACAGTGTAATTTATGGAACCTCATTTTTTCATGGCCTGCAACCCTTTGTGCTTGCAAGTGTAAAACCATATCTTACAGCATGGATCTCAAACTTGGTTAGTAAGAAGTACTTATTTTTTAGTAATAGCATTCTCGTTTTTTACCTGCTTGTTTACATATGGTATAGAGATCACGTTTAGCAGGCATTTTCCTCTTTGGTGGGGTGGTTTTTGATTCCCCATCAGCCTCTCCACCCTCTCCAGATTCTTTCTTTTTCCTCTTGGCTTCCCACATGGCTGGGATGTCATTTTTGTAGTACAACATAAAATGGCTGTACACATCTTTCAGCTGCTCCATAGTCTCAACTCCATCAAGCCTACAAGACACAAAGTACATGCAGGGTTCATACACTTTTTTCAGGCCAAAGATTCAAGGACTTTTCAAGGACTTTCCAGGACCCTACTTAGAAATTTCAAGGACTTTTTGCAATGACAATTTTACCTCAAAACCAAGAAAAATGTTTCTGTTAACATCTATGTTTTGGGTTTACTGATGGTGCAAAACAAAAGCAGATATTTTTCGATGATGTTCAATAAAAAATCAAGGACTTTCAAGGACCCAAAATGAAATTCAAGTACTTTCAAGGCCTTGAAATCAGCCTCCTGAAATTCAAGGGTTTTCAAGGGTTTTCAAGACGCGTACGAACCCTGTACATGTATCTCAGCTACATTACATTCTTAGTGTAGTGTGGTGAATCTTCTTGGACGAGATACCTGATTAAGCCAAAAATTACAATATAATGTATGAATTTTAGAGAAAGGCAAGGTGAGATCTGAACTTATCCCTAAATTGGTGAAATTCAAAATCACATGAGGCATGAATTTTCTAAAATTTGTATGCAACATTGGATTAGGACCCAATCTTTCACTTCCCTCTTAAGATACCAACAGGGAATGATAGGCAGTTGAGGGAATTTTCCACCAAGATCTTTGGAGTTCGAGTTGGCAGGAGGTTTGAGTTAGGAAGAGGTTTAATTACCAAGAACCTCTTAAAGCTGCTAACATTTTGGTCAGTATATCCATAGGAAAAATTTTGTTATATTAGTTTGCAGAAAATGTTGCCAATTAAATTTTGGTGACCTGAGTTCAAAGGTTGTACAGCAAACTGTAACTTTCCTTTTCCATTTTTTTCCTAACATAACCAAAGTAAAGCGGACGCTTTGATCGGTCAATTCAGTGCCCACCATTTACATGTGTTTATGCTGCTGACATAAGCAAATGCAAGGACTAGTTTTTGCGCGCTTGTTTTTCTGGTCATGCATGATTATTTTGTTAAATAAAAGGGAACTCTTTCCCACAATGTATCAATTTTATGTTATAAAACAAAATCGAAAGCACCACAGTACACTATTGAGTCATGATTGCACTTGGGTGGGGGAGTGGGGTAGCTTACATTTTATCTCTTGTAACTGTTGTCGTTCAATTTTATCCTTGGTTCAAATTTTATTTTCCTTTGTTTCAAACTCATTATCATACATTAACATGACCGAGAACAAAGGAAGATAGAATTTGAACCGAGTATAAAATTGAACCACAACATAACCATATTATTAATATCATTTTAGGTCTCTAAATTAAGACTTTGAAAGAAGTTGAGCTTGAAGCCCTGTTGAGGGAGATACATTTCATTATAGGTATGAAAAAAATTCATTAGAAATTGATTTTGTTTCAAGTTGGTACGGGGCCCAAGTTATCAGGTGCTAACTGTATTACTATTATCATCATTTCTCTTACTATTAAAAACTTACTGTCAACATTATTATTATTATTTGCTATCACTACTATTTTCTTCCTTATTATTATTATTATTATTATTATTATTATTATTATTATTATTAACATAATCATTATTATTTTCTGATGAACCCTTTAACTCCCAGAATTGATTTACATGTGAATTCTCCCTACAATATCCAATCACCATCCAGCTTATCAGGTGGAAGTTATCTTGATCTAACACTAAATTCTTGTTACTAGTTTACAAGGAAATGTGGAGCAGCTAAAGGGGAGAATTAACAATTCCATAATTGATATTAAAGGGTCAAAATTAAGAATTTGTTCATGCTTAGCATGTGCACATTGAGTTATGGATGCACGTGGGAAGTTTGGAGAGCTCAAAAAATGCGTAAGAGTAGCTCGAGGCACAGCCTAAGGTTAAACTAGCTATTTTATAGCTCTCCAAACTTCAGCGTGAATCCATGACTTGATATGCACACAGCTAAAGGCATGAACAAATTCTTTAATTTATAACAGAGCGACTACAAGGATCTGCAGGAAGAAGCTTTTTTATTGACAGTGATAGAGTGCAAAATTCTCACAATGCTCGAAAAAAGTAAACAAAATGTCCCTAATGACTGGTCAAACAAGTCACATTTTCGATTTGAGGGAGATCATTTGATCCAGTTAAACAATAACTGTGACTGAAAAGCTCAAAATTAAAGGGAGAAATGGAGAAAATCAAAGCTACATGAACTCAAGTGTCACTATAAAATGTTTTAAAAGTCAAAGACCCAACAAATTTGCAAAACATGCAACTTGCAAGTTTTTTTGGTTTTGTTTTTGCTGCATGCTGGAACAGGGCCTAAAAGGTCAATGCTGATAGAAAAATTGGGCAGTTCTTTGCTTATTTCTTTCATATTTTAAAGAGAAGGAAAACTGTACTCCAGCTTGACAAGAGAGCAACTCTGCAGCCAGATAAAAAAAAAAAGCTCATGCCATCTTATTTACCCACAGGCATGCATAAATGAAGATTTTGTTCATAGCAGCTCAAGAGGATTATAGAGTAAGCATGCGCACTATGTATGAGAAGCAATCCCATATACCTGTCAATATCCTCAGCTTGTAAGATTCTTGTGTCATCGTCAAGTGGCTCATTGCCACTCTCCTGGATCTTATTGAATTGGTAATTCTGCATTTCTTCAAACAGACGATGAAGATTTTCCTTACGAGTACGCAGTTGGCTCCACTAAAAATAAACAGAATGACAAAAAACAAAGACTGAAGTAGATTGGAATAACAACATGAACTCCAGTCACATACAAAAATAAATGCAGCTATGCATCATGTAAGAGAGGAAAAAATGGTAAGGACAAAAACCAGAATTGTAGTTTTTAAAAAGTAGAGAAGCCAGTTCTTGCTAACTGTTTGACCCCTTGAGAGTGACCAGCATCTAATTTCTCCTTACAATATCACCCCTGAATCACACATTTACGTCACAAGAATAAAGGAAATGCTTGCAACTGAAGAAGCTCTTTAGTGTTAAACAAATTCTCCTTGTCAGCACCTTAGGAAATGTATAGATAACAGTTAAGTGAATATGCATATTGATGTTAGTATGTAAAGGGTTAACTGGGTCACAAGTCCGATCCACATTACCCAGAGAATTTTTGAGAAAATCTTTGTCCCTATGACAAAGAATTGTCCAGAAATAAGTCACAAAATATCAAACTGGTACTGTTTGTGCAATGATACACTGTAGCTACAATAATAATTTATGGGTCGCAGTTATTAATTTTGTTTTGGAGGTGATACTCAAGACATGGAGAAGTTTGACATTGAGACTAATGCTGCCGACATCAAATGTTACTACCTTTTCATCCCATTCCCAGATCTTCCACAGGTCTTCAATATTCAGTTCTGGTTCAATGTATTCTTTTCTATAGCTTGCTATGAATGGAACCTGAAACCACAACCAAACGAACCTAAGTGACCTCCCTGAACAAAATCAACAACAATATAGCCATGAAGTGATTAACGTGTACCTTCTTGTCATAATATCTATACATTCTGAAACAAACAGGAAATGAGAACACTAGATATCCATCATTAAAATCAGTTACCTCAAATAGTTGGTTTCTCATCAGGTTCAATGCCTCTCTGATCTTAGCAACAGCACTGTTTGGTTTAGGTGTATTAGAATGAGGATGAGTATCACCATCCAGAGGATCCTAAAAGATATGGTGAACATGTTTTACATAACATTACTGAATTTACTCAAAGTAAATCTATGAGGCAATTAAAACAGAATGAATTGTAAAGTTCTCCTGGTATAATATTGCTTCTTCTTCTTCTTGATCTCCTCCTCCACATTCCTTTGGAAATTTAGTATGTATGGTCTTTAAAAAAGAAAACGTCCAGCACACTTTGCATTTTTAGGATGGTATACAGTATGTAGTTACCTCCTCTGAAATTTAGAACCTCAGGGTTCATCACAAAATCTGGTGGTTTCCTAATTTACAGATCAAAATTCAAACCTGTTGCTGAGATATTGGCAAATCAAGGAAAGCATGTTTATAAATCCAGTCTGCTTCATCATCAAGCTCTCCATCTTCTGTTGACTTCACAGCAAAATCACGAACCTGACAGGAAAGAGATGCAAATAGAATTATTGACCATCATTAAGTACAATGTCCTGTAACAAAAAGATAACCAATGTCTGAAAAAAAGTTATAGGAATATCTCTTTTCTTTCTCTTATTTACCTGGAATCTTTCAGGCACATCTGCAGTTCTGATTTCATTGTCTTTGTTGGTCAACATTCCTTTTTCAAGCTCACTTGGTTCAAACACCTACAAAGAAAGACATGGAAAGTTGTTCATTCCTTGGTTTCTAAGATAATTTGGTTTTATCCAGTTAGTTAACAAGGTAAACTTGCCATTGTGAAGAGTTTATAAAGCTGACATTTTCAGCATTAGCCATTCCCTAGACACTGCCAAATGCTAATGTCAGGATCTGAGAAAAATTCATAAAGTCCTCGTCAGAGTCAATAAAACTTACTGGACTCTGATAATGATTTGCTCTCAGGATGTCCAAACATCATTCATCATTATCAACAACAGACCTTATTGGGACTACTCTTTCCACACAATAAGGCTGTATAATCAACTGTTACTCTTGAGTCCAAACCATGTACAGTAGAACCTTGATTATAACATAACTAAAGCAAACCACATGCTCTGATTGGTTAATTCAGCATCTACTATTTGCCCATGGGTGTATGCTGCTGACGCGAGCAAAAAATTAATGCTAAGACTATTTTTCCACGTGCACTTGTTTTTTTCTGATCACGTAAAATTTGTTAAATAAAGAGGAACTCTTGTTACAATGTTTCAATGTTATGTTAATAAAACAAATGGTAAACACCACAGTTTGTTCATAGTTCTGCTGACCTCTTTCACCGGTTGTTGGACACAGGGTTTATAAAGAGGATTTTGGTCGGTATTTCAGGAAGTGTGATTAAACTTTATCGAGTTGCCGGTGTGCAGTCGGTTGTTGTGAATGAATTTTCGTGCGCTTGTTTTCTCTTGTCATGTTAGACTACACGAACATTTTTTGCAATGTAGCTCAGTAAAAGGACTTCTATTCTTCCAATGTCTCAATGTTATGTTATAAATTACAAATGGTGAACGGCATAATGTGTACTATTGAGTTATGGATGCACGCAGGAGGTTGCTATGCACAAAAGAAGTGTAAGAGTCGCACGTGGCATAGCCGAGTGTAACTCTAACTTCTTGAGTGCTTAGCAAACCTTCCAAGTGCATCCATAGTTCAATAGTGCACGCTATGCCGTTCACCATTTTTTATCATCTGGACCCTGATTATCCGGATTTCTGGATTATTCCGACTTTTTCTCTAGTCCCAATTCTTCATGAATGTTTATTAGTCACAATCTAGATCCATAGCTTATCATCTTTTTAAAACTACAGCATTGAAAAGTGAAGTAAAGGTGCTGCTCTTCTTTAAGACAAACTGACTTACTTCAACATTTTATGCCAATGTAAAAACATTTTTTCACCTCATAAATAGACTTCTTTGTTGATTTCTTTTTAGGTCTCCTTGGTGCACCATCCTCTGTGTCATCTTCATAATCTTCCTCTTCCTCTTCTGATGAAAAATCGTCTCTACCATACTTCTCAAATTCATCAAAGTCAAAGTCAAGACCAAAGATATCTTGGGCTTCCATCAAAGCACTATGAATGAACAAAAGACAGAAACACTATCACTGAACTCAGAAAAACAAAACTAGAAATAAGACCACCATGAAGAGAAAATTGTTCACAATTGTTTCACTTGCAGTTTCCTTTCATGACTTAATGGAAAGTTATTGTTAGGCAAGGTTAAAACCAAGACAATACTAACAGATGGAAACAATCAGTCCTCTCTGAAGATTACAAAGCACTGCTTTCAATAAAAATTTCCAAACTACTTACGAATCTTGAAGAGTTCCTGGAAGTCTTCTTCTTTCTCTTTTTGGATGCCTATTAATAGGGTTCCCTTCATCATCCACAATAAAATCATCCACATCTGAAATTAATGAATGGTTTCCATTAATGATATTTAAACTGGATAAGCAATAGGCCTTTGTAGAATCACAAACCTGTTGTTGTGATATCAAAACAAAACAAACATCCTGCTACATGTAACAATCTTCAAGGTGACTACCGACTGTCATCACTAATGGTGAGCTTTTTGTTGTTTGGCAGAGAGATTTCCTTGGGCACATGCATTTGGGTTGATGCCATGTTGATTTCCCCCCCTCCCCCAACTCCCCACAGTTTACTTTGAGTGGCTTTGTAACTTCCTGTGCAACTTTTTGCCTTCTGTTTGTGGATTTTCCTTCCATTTTACCCTTATGACCAATTTCTTGGTTCTTACATGTAAACTGTCTGGTATTCCCTGCAAGTTAATACAATCACAGATGCCAAGGTGAGGTGAACCTAAGGAGATAGCCTTGGTTATCTCCTTGAATCAAACTCCACCCATACCAATCTCCATTTAAATAATACTCCTTCACAACTCAATACAGGGTGTTAATCAGTCAAAGAATTCCCAGCCTAAACTTTGCTCACCTGAAATGCGTTTCATTACCCCTTTAGCCCTTTACACCATAACAACAGTATCCATATTCTTCAAACTCTTCTCGGTGTATTTCCTTCAGTAGTCACAAGGAGAATTTGTTTAACAATCAAAGCTTCTTAGGTTAGCGGCCCTTTCCCTATATTCTCGTCATCTTAACCCTTGAACTCCCAAGATCTGATTATGAATTCTCCCCTCTAGCTGCTATATATTTCCTTATAAATTGGTTAGGAGAATTTGGTGTTCAATCAAGGTAACAACTTCTACTTGACTAGTTAGAGTATTTACATTACCTGTTTGCTGGATTATGTATGGATAAGTTATATTTAAGTTCACAGAGCAACCAGGTGAACAATCAGACCTGGTTTGATGCTACTCTGGATAAAAGGTTTAATGATCTGTAATTTTGGTTACATTTATTAAATCTTTAAACCAGAGTAGCATCAAACCATGTCTGATGTATGGATATTATAGGGAGAAGTTACAGGTCAATCACTTCTGGGAGTTCAAGGGTTAATAAATGGTACTGACCAAGACTGAATTTCTCCTTACAATATCAATACAATATCAAGCAGACATGTTCCATAATTTCCAGCCATTTACTTGCGGGTAATCTCTTGATTTTGCCTTAAACACGTGCCACTGTGGGTAATAGGGAAGTGCAGGTTAAGTGACAATTTTGAAATGTACTGGCAGTTGAATTGAAAAAAATTCTCACCTGCCTGCATTTCCATCTCTCAGATTTTTATTGTATAAGAGTGCTACAAAGTGGCACGAAAACATGATGCCAACTTGATTTCACGCACAATTAGTTATGCGAGGAACAAATTTTTATTGGCACNAAAATTACCCTGTTAACCCCACCTATGCAGCACCACAGTTTCTTTGGAAACTTAACCATTTTATTTATAACATTAATTATTACCCAGCTATAACTAAAAAAAAAACAACTACAGGTCGTAAGTTAGATTACTCATTGGGTTAATTACGTCACCTTTGCTAAATAAAGAATATTGTATTGTATTGTATTGTATTGTATTTTATTACACGACTCGGGCAGTCAGAGGGCCAATAACTAAAATCAACCGATCAAAATGCTCTATTGCCGGTCAATATTCTCTCAGTATTGGACCAGGCACTGTCCCGAATGATACTGCACTTGTGTCCCTTTGAACATCAGTCGTATAATAAATCAGTCTCTTATTAACCAAGCTTGCTCGGGACGGTACTGGAAGAATATCGGCCCTCGGTCTTTTTTGTACGGACCTCGCTGCGCTTGGTCCATACTGTCAACACCTCAGGCCAATATTCTCCCAGTATGACCCTCGCGCTTATTTAATAAAATATGTGTATTGTATTGAATTGCAATACAGAAAAACTGCTGAACTCCAGTACCTCTCCACTGTCGTCCCCACCCTCAAACAGCTGGTTAGCGATTGCTTCTCGCTCTTTGACAGCAGCACTTCCAGCCAACTGATCTTCTTCTTCCTCATCAGAATCAAGCACTTTTATTTTTTTCAAACGAGGCTTTTTCTAAAGAGAATAAAACAAATATTTCATTTAGTAATCAATCAAGATTGCCTTGGGACCACAACGAAATATTTACAACTCAAAAGCTATCCTAACTGTCAAAACAAAATTGGCTTACTTTCATTTAAACTCAAACTTCAACACTTTCGTCCAATCAATGATCCTCGGAGGACAAACAAATAAAGGAATTGGAAGCTTACATCGATTTATTGAATTACTTAATTAATTTATCACGATGCACGGTACAATCCACTTGTTAATCAAATTTTTTTTGATTGATCAGGTGAGAGACTGTATAAAACGAGCTGTGGTATCCTTACCCGCTTTATACTGATGCCAAGATTCTCCTCGATCAAAGACAAATCTTCTTCATCGAGTTCCTCCGCCTCATCTGCTAGAAAACATGAAGAGAAACTTTGAATCCGCTGAAAAAACCTACCTTTAATAGAGAGATGATGAATTCTTTTTCATTGCTTCAAATATATTTTCTACCTTTTCTTCGTTTCCTATGATGGTGACCGTGATGACCTTCCTCTTCTTCTCCGGCGCTCTCTTCAACTTCGTCCTTTATGATGTCGTTCTCGTCTTCTGCCTGTTCTTCTTCCTCTTCTCCTTCTTCGTCTTCATCTTCATCGTCGTCGCTTTTCTCCGACAGACTTTCATCTAAGGAGTCTTCCTCCGCTTGGCTGTCGCCAAATTTTGACATAACGAAGGGTCGAGTGACAAAACTACTGACGAAAAGAAGACAACACGAGGATTGGAAGCGACAAGACAAGAAGTTAGCAAAATGGCTGACTGACGCTAGGGTGGGAACTGGGCTCGAAGATCTGTACCAGTCTTCTTCGTCCACATCAGAGATTATGGATAATTTTATCGTCAGTTTTTGTTTACTTTTTTTCTTTTTTTTTTTCAGTTTGGCCGTTATAAACAAAGGTAAAAACAAGCTAAAAAAAAGAGTTAACAGTAGCCTTTATAGGCTGCGGAGGTCGAGAAGGGACGAT